CTTTACTCCCCAACACTGGTGATATCTGTCGCTGTTTCTGTGCATCTGCAAGGCTAACAGTTGGTTGTAATCTGTAAATTCACCACTAGATGGCACTAAATCTCAATCACTGCTCATTTATTGAGGTTGCTTCAAATACTTTAATGTGTAATTTATTTATTTTTTCTCACTTTTACCCATTTACAAAAAAACAACAAGAACTTTCTTTCATATTGTTCTTCATCCATTTCTCCTGCTTCTTTTATTTGACAGAAAAAAAGAAGAGTGAGGAGGACGCAGCTGAACAGGCCAGGAAGAAAAACACGATCAGCTCTAAAAACAGTGGGATGCAGGTGGTGGAAGGAGAAAGTGAACCACTCATGACAGGAAGAGAAGAAGATGATGATGTGGACAGCAGAGAAGACCAAAGACATGAAGATGACAGAGAAACCAAACAAGATGAGTTTGTTTTAGAAACAGAACAAATAAAGAACATAAACAGTCCACGAGAAAAGAGAATAAATCCATCTACTGTTAATGACAAAAAGTCTTTGATTAAGATGGAACACAAAACACAGGATATGACAGGAAGAGAAGAAAAGGGTGATGTGGACAACAGTGGAAAGAAAAAGAGACAAAAGAAAATGGTCATGAAAAAATCCAAAAAGAAACAGAGCAAAGAAGTAGACACTGACAGTTCAGAAACAAAAACATCTGCTGTGACTAAAACTGAGCCTCAGTTTAAAATGAAACAAGAAACACATGAAGAGCAGAGCAGGAGAGGAAGACATGAAACACATAATGTGGACATCAGAGAGCTGAGAAATAAAGATGACATACAAACACAGAGGACAGGAGTGGACAGTATAAATCAGTTTATTATGACTGAAAAAGTGTCTCAGTCTACAACAGAACAAGAAACACATGAAGAAAAGGAGATGCCAGGAAGGGGAATGAAAGCTGAGGTGGCTGAAAGTGAAAGAGCGAAAAAGATGCAAGCAGGAAAAACTGATTTAGGATGTCAGTTTTCACCATTTACAGAAGAACATAAAGAGGAGCCCATGCCATTAGGTGAAGAAAAGTCCTTTAATTTTTCTTTTCATCTGAGCAGTGATCAGGAACCATGGAGACAAAAAGAGACACAACAGAGAGAGGAAAACCAGAGGAAGCTTCAATCAGAGAAACAAAGGGAAAGAGAGAAAGATGAGAGACAACTGAAAATAAGGAAAGACAATAAAAAACAATATCGCACAGAAGAAAAAACAGAGAGGAAGAATCAAAGAACAAAAAATTGTCTACAAGAAAGACAGGAGGAGGAGCTGATGGAGGTCGACATCCAGAGCAGAAAACTGCATGAGGTCTGCACACTGCCAGTCAAGGAAGAGAAAAAGGTAAAAGAGTGTGTCAACAAACAAAATGATCAGTTTATGGACGTTGACAATTTTCCTCACAGTCAATATGCTGCAACATCACAATCGTATGAACCCATGCAATGGACCAAAGATCAGCAGATGCTGCCAGTTCAAACAGAACCACAAGAATGTCTGAAAGAAAAGGATGAAGATCAGATGGAGGCTGAAGAATATTCAGGACTTCAGTTTTCACAATTTACAGAAGAACATAAAGAGAAGCCCATGCTATTAGGAGAAGAAAAGTCCTTTAATTGTACTTTTCATCTGAGCAGTGATCAGGAACCATGGAGAGAAAAAGAGACACAACAAGAGCAGCTTGTAGAAAAAAGACAGATGGAGAGAAATGTGGACATGAAAGAGTCAGAGACTGAGAAAAAGAGAGCAGAGGAAAACAGTGGTGAAGTAAACAATCTATATTCTGTGTTTGTGGCACAGAAGGAGACACAGAGAGAAAAACTGGAGGCAGAAAAACAGAGAGAGGAAAAACAGAGGAGGCTTCAATCAGAGACACACAGGGAAAGAGAGAAAGATGAGAGAGAACTGAAAATAAGGAAAGATAATAAAAACCAACCAGAGGAACAGAAGGGTCAGACAGAAAGCATGATTTCATCAGTCCAAGTTCCACTGGATACACATCTGAAAATACAAGGACAAAACTACAAGAAACAACCAGAGGAAACATGTCAACAGAGCCGAGAACAAATCAGAGAGCAGCCAGAGAAACTGAGAGGAGCAGAGAGGAAAGAAGGAGCTCAGGGAAAGGAGCTGGAGGCTAATGAAGGGCTCAGATCTGAGGAAACAAAGAGGAAGGACAAGGAGAGAGAAAAACTACAACTCCCACATGAAGGAGAGCTGCAGGCAGAGCAACAAGTGAAGGTAAA